GGAAGGTGAGCATCATAGAATGCCAATTTAATAGAAGAAAGTATTTTTGCATTGAGGGAGTACTTGAGTGGAGGCCCAATGTCCTTCTGCTACCTTAATACTAAACCTATAAATATAGGCTCATAGATGTATTTTCCCATCCTCATATAAATATATTTGTATATGTACATGTCTTTATTTAGACCTCTATAAATGCCCTTTGCCTCCGAGCTCTTTCCTCTATTTCCCTTGATTCTCCTCCTGTCCCACTATCATCCTGCTATTTCTCAAATATGACAGACAAGGCACTCTCCCATAAGGTTCTTTGTATTTGCTTTCCCTCTTCACAGAACTCTTCCTTCTGTCTTCCTGGCTTGCTTCCTTACTTCCTTGAAGTCTTTGTTTAGCTGTTAGCTCTTCGAAGAGGGCTTTCTTGACCACTATATATGTAATAACACCCCTACTTCTACACCATCACTTTACTCACTTGTCGCTTTTTGGCATCTTCATACCACCTATCACCTGACTTATCTATTTCTTTGTATCTATTTATTTCAGCTTCATGAGAGCAAGAACTTTGTTTTATACCATGCTGTGTCTCTACAGCACTGAGAATAGCGCCTGTCACATAGTAAATAATTGTTGACTGAATAAGTGAAGTACCACCTAACAGAATGCCTCCTGCAAAAGGCAGGCAGGGTGGTTAACCAATTAGATAGCCAATTGTGACTCATGACAGTTCCATTTTTTCAGAGTAAAGCTGTGCTCAATAATGTTTTTCTTGTCTGTAATCTTTCTGAAATAGATTGCCAGGCATTTATTTTCTGAGACACCATTGGCTGAATTTGAACTACCAAATTTTCACTTAGTAGCTGAGAAATTAACTGTGTCACCCAAGGAGATTATGAGTCTTTAAATTATATGAGGATGTTTGAGACCTAGAAATGGTTTTGTTTTTGTTTCCCAGAAGAAAAGGCGAGATGATCATTAAGCTGTTTCACAAGCAATTCCTGCATCACTGGGTCCTAAGATTATATGATTCTTTGAAACTGTGACTCCTAAATGGAAGCATGTGTGATATTAATCCCCCTAGCCTAGTGTCCTTAAAGTTAATGACAGGAGTTGCTCAGACTAAGTTACTTCTATATTTTCTTGTCTTCGTAATGTACGTCTCAGCCCCTGTTGCTCTGTTTCTTACTGTTATTCGTCTGAGCAAACTGCCTGGTGGCACGCTCTGGGTTATAGATTCTGCATTGCTGCTAAGGTGGGAATCAACCTACTTACTACCTGGTCACTTGAAAAATAAAATTTATTGTGCCCTTTTGAAGGATTATTGCTTTATTTTTAAGTATATAAGTAATGCTTTTTTCCCTGTGGAATAGATACAGGCAGAAAAAGGAGATAGAGCACAGATTATCTACACTGAAGTCTGCTGTGGAAAGTGATCAAGCTGATGATGAGCATGTTCGTGAATATTACCTCCTTCATCTTCGGATGTGGATTGGGATCAGCTTGGAAGAGATTGAGAGCATTGACCAAGAGATACAGATTCTGAGAGAAAGGGACACCTCAAGAGATGTAAGCCTCATTATTACCCATATGTCTTAAAAAGCTACTGCCAGCAGACTCGAATATTCTACAGAAGAATGATTAAATTAAAATTATTTTAAGATTCCATAAAATGACTGTCCTACTAAAGTTAATCGGGCAAAGGCTAATTTATAGTAGTATTTCCCAATCCCTTGTAATCTGTAATATACTTCTGGTCATTTGTATTTTTATGGCCTACCATGAGAGAAGGAGACTCCTCTGAACTATCCATTGATTTTGTCTGTGGGAAGTTGTGACTTATAATTGAATATAATAGACAAAGGGGAAGAGAAATGAGATGGGAAAGGAGAAGGGAAATGAAACTGAAGGTTGGAGAGAGAAAAGATGGGAATGAAGGCCAGGGAATATGTTTAGGTTAGGGGACAAACTTTGCACAACGATGTACTCATACACTTTTAGATCACCCAAATATGAAACACAGCAAGGACAGCTTGCACAAAATGCTGGGTGTACTGATCAAGAAAACTTGGTGTAACATAATTTTGGCTGCATTTGAATATCAGTGCCCTCTTTTAGAGCTGCTGCTTCAGAAGAATAGACCCTACTACCACTTGAACTTGGTCAGTGTGCATCACAAATTGAAGTTATCAGCTGGTCACAAGCAGTTAAGACCGCAGAGAAACATTTTCCTAATTTGATTTGTACTACAGAAATTAGCTCAGGAACTCTTACCTCCAAGTTAAAGATCAAAGAATGAAGAAGTAAATATTCTAATACCATAAGGCTCCCTGAGAAAATCTAGAATGGTTTTCAAGCATTTTGAGACTAGAATCTTCTGGATTCGTCCCTGCCCCCTTCTTCCTCCTCCTCTTTTTTAAAAAAAAAATAACAATGTTCTCTCCTGTGGTATTGGGATTGGCTTTAAAAGTAATGGAGCTGGACCCAAGTATACACTGTTTCTGTGACATTAGGTTGTTTCAGTATATCTCTAGAAAACCAGTGTTTTCTTAAATGTTTTTATGTGAAAAATACTAACCCTTGCACTTAGGAGCATCCAAGAATGTTCAACAACATTCCTGGGGTTCTTGACCATTAATATAATTTTTAGACTGAAAGGGAATTTAGAAGTAGATGGATCTTTTTTTTAAGGAGCTGGATCTTAATAATTTAATTTTTCCACTAAAAACAAGCTGAAGGAAAGGGTTTCAAATTCAGCTCAAAAGTAGATAAAACATGGAAGAAGGCTGTGAAATATCTTCCTTTGGAGGAAGTGTTTTAAAGGCGAGTAATTTTTTACTTGTGAAATAGTTGCTGTAAGAACTTTCTCCCTATACTTACCTGGCAGGGGAGATACCATGATCACGAAGGTGGTTTTCCCAGGGCGAGGCTTATCCATTGCACTCTGGATGTGCTGACCCCTGCGATTTCCCCAAATATGCAAAACTCAACTGCATAATTTGTGGTACTGGGGGACTGCGTTTGCGCTCTCCCCTATTAAAAAGAAAGAAAGAAAACCTTTCTCCCTTTTTAGCAAAGTGCCCAGGTCTTCTCAGAAACAACCTCTACCATCAGTATTCTGCTGCTATAGGGGGGTAGTGAAATTTGAACAAAGGATTTTGCACATTCTTGAAGATATAACATCCTATGTAGGGAGATGGGCAACATGGCAAATGTACCGTTTCTTTTTTAGGCATCAACTTCTCACTCACCTCATCAGGACAGACCACCATTGAAACCCTTCATTCTCACTCGGGACAGGGCCCAAGCCAAGTAGGTATCACCTGAAAATAGCTTACCTTTGCAGGTCCCCTGCTTTTTCATATTTCAGTTACAGTGCATTGATAACAGATAGAAAGGATGTTATTGAAAAGTCATGGTTTTACTTAAAAGGAGGCTGTTCTTTAAAGAAATATTGTCTCTCATGCTATAATGCTTTCTATGGCTGTCCTCAAACTTAACAATAGGCTCAAAGGAAACGAAAACGAATAAAACTCATTTAATTTTTTAAAAATTAAGGAGAAATATACATGGATTAAGCCTCTGGTGAACCAACAACGAAGGATGTGACTAGCCTTGCATTCATGCAGAGTGCAATGCAAAGTAGATTGTTGCAGATGCAGTTAGGTTAAACAAACACCTTATCACTTGATCTTCCTTATGACCCATTTTAAATTTTTCTACTTTTTAATAATTCCAGCTTACTTTTGATTGAGATTTTTCTCTGGTTTATTTTGTTATTGTTATTGGGTGTTTTTTTTATGTTGTCCTTTATACGGAATCCAGCATAGGTAAATATATAGAGATAGTAACTGCATTAATGCATTCTTGGGGGTCTGGCAGGGGAGACTGGGAAGTAATGGGGAACTAATAACAATCAATACACTAATGAAAATGTGGAACTGGTTGTAGTGATAATTGTACAACTCTTCTTAATATGATTGAACTATTGAATTGTATAATATGTGAATTAATATTTTTTAATTAATAAAACTGAAGGAAAGGAACAGTCTAATTGGGAAATAGACAAAGGACTTCAAAAAATGGAAAACTTCCATTATCTTTTAATTCCATTTTCCACAAACTTTTTGAAGCCCCTTTGTATACTTAAATTTTTTTCTTCTGATTTTGCCACCCTTCCTATATTCAGCTACAATTCTCAATTTAATCTTGTCTCAGATTTCATTCTGAACTCTTTAGCTGCTTTTCTGTAGGGTGTCAGGAGAATCTCCTTTCTCCCTATACCTTTGAGACCCAGAAACCATAAATACCCCGTATACAGTGTCATCACTGCTCTGTGGGACATTAACCTTTAAATTCGCTTATTGGGAGATGTTCCCAGACTGCTTATCTTTTTATTAAAGCTCTTGGCTTTCATGCCTACTCCTGGATGCTGCTTTTTACATACATCCTTACAGAAACTTGTACTGTGTACAAACTTCCATGGGACATAACTGATTGGGGGAATGAGGATAAAACTGACCCAGGTTTTGTCACAAAGGAGAAGAGGCATTTTAATCATGTGATTCCTGTTTAATATTCTAAATGTAATGTGATTCTCACAGGGTATTTGGAGCTGGTTATCCAAGCTTGGCAACTATGACAGTGAATGACTGGTATGATCAGCATCGGAAATATGGAGCATTACCAGATCAGGGAATAGCCGAGACAAAATCAGGTATGAAGGGATGGTAGTATGTTAGACCAGCTTGACAAGAGAAACAAATCCAGAGACACTCATATATGTATAAGAAAGAGCTTTCTATCAAAGAGTAATTGTATGTTAAGAAAATGTCCTGTCCCAGTCTAGATCAAGTCCGTAAGTCCAATAGTAGCCCATAAGCCTGATACCAGTCCATAAATCCCTCTTCAGACTCACATAACACATGCAATGATGCAAAATGACGGAAGATCATAGGCCAATGGTGCAAAGTCTTGTGGATCCAGTATCAGTGGAAGCATCTCCAGGGCTCTCCCAGTTCTCAGTGTGACTATGTGGCTTGTCAACAGAAAGGTGAAAGCAGCAAGAGAGTGTATGACCCACTTCCAGGGAGAAAGGACTAGACCAATCTCTGAGAGCCATTTACCCTGGTAGCCCTCTAGTCAAACAGTGACCTGATTGACAGGCTAAATTCTGCCCATATGTTCTTACAGGAGCCAGGTTGGCACAAAAAAACCGAACTATTACAGATAGTAAGGTATTTATACTGCTGGTTTTCTACAACCTAACAATTAAATTCATACCAAGTATTATTGTCCTTTAGGAGGGGAAGTGGCCTGGGCAAGGATTCTGAGTAATATATTCTAGGCAGTATTGTGTTTATTGTTAAATATACAAGAGAAAATTTTGAGAACATGAGATAGTGACAACATAACTTGATCTCTAAATCACTACATAAAAACAGAGCAGCAGCTAGACAGCACAACCAGAAATCCATGGACAACAGTGCCATTTCTGTTGTGGTTGACTGATCCAACATCTAGTGCCACTAACCCTCAATTTCCTTATTGTATATATTATTTCATTTGATACTTTTATCCCCAGGAAGCAGCCATTCTTTTTCCCTACGTTAGGATAAGAAAATAGGCCATCAAAATGGACCTACCCAACATTACATAGCTAAAAAGTGGAGAGGCTAGGCTTTAAAATCACGTTAGGTCTTCAGATTCCCAGTTGTAGTGCTGCTGTTTCCACTATAGAATAGAAAAGAAAGGAAAGAATGCTAATTTGAAAGGGTTTTCTGGTTTGGGTTTGTTTTGTTTTTTTAATAGTTTTTTTCCCTGTGACTTGGCTGTAGTTGCTATGATGTAATATAACTGAAACTTACAGTCTTACTGGTTGAGGAATGAGAGAAGTAAGTGCAGGGTGACTATCGTACCTGAAAAGTGAGGGAAATACCCTAAAGGAGAGAAACCCAGAGGGGGAGCCTTAAACTGGTCATGTACTTGATAGCTGTGAAAGCTAAAAGAACTGAATGCAGAAGTCAGCTGCTGCTCAATGCAAAGGAAGCATAATTCAGAGTTTGGGCTCTGCCCAAGTTAACTGCTGCTAAAACAAAAAAAACCAGCACTCTTTGGAAGAGCAAAATAGAATTTAGAATCTCTACAGAATTCATCTTACATGTTTAGAATTTAATCCCAAGTTATGACTACTACTGTTGTCGTTGTTACTTGCCATTGAGTGGATTCTGACACGTGTGCAGAGTAAAATGAGCCCAGAGAGTTTTCAAGACTGTGACCTACTGAAACATCACTAGGCCTGTCTTTCAAAGCGCCTCCGGATAGGTTCCAACTGCCAACCTTCCAGCTAGTAATAGCACTTTACCATGTGTGCCACCCTCTCTCTCAAAAACTCACTACCATCAAACCTTTTCTAACTCAGAGCTACCATTTAGGACAGAATACAGATGCCCCTATAGGCAATTTCCAAGACTGTAAATCTTTACTGGAGTAGAAAGCCTCATTGTTTTCCCACAGAGTGACCTGTTGATTTGAACTGCTGATCTTGTGGTTAGCAACCCAATGCATAACCCACAATACCACCAGGGGTCCAGTGCCACCCAGGGACTCCTAAACTACAAGACATGTGGGGGGTGGGAGGTGAGCGATGCTCAAGAGGAAAGGCAGAAAGGCAAGCAAATCAATGAAGGCTAATCTCAAGATGACACTGCTGGAATTAGCAAAAGAAGGATTCTGAAGCAAGTATCACAATTATGCACTTGGATGGAAATAAATATATATTTGTAATGAGTGGAAAAGTAAGAAATATAAGTAGAGAAGTAGAATCTATAAAATATTCTATAACTGAAAACTATAATGGCTGAAATTTTAAAATCACTGAATGGGCTCATTAGATTGGCAATGACAGAAGAACGTGCCAGTTGAACTGAAGATACATTAAGTAGATGTTATCTAATCTGAAAAACTGAAAAAGATTGGGGGAAAAAGTAAACAGGTTCTCAATAACTTATGGAACGATGTACAAAGGCCTTACATACTTGCAATTGGAGTCTCAAAGGAGGAGAGGAAAGAAAGGGGGGGCGGGGACAGGAAAAATATTTGTAGAATTATAGCTGAAACCAACACAAAATGCGAAATTACACATGGACTTCTCCAGATGAAATACACAGAATCAGATTGACTATATCTGTGGTAAGAGATGCTGGAGAAGCTCAATATCAGCAACCAAAACCAAGCCGGTGGCTGACTATGAATCAGACCACAATTGCTTGTTTGTAAGTTCAGGTTGAAGTTGAAGACAATGAAAACAAGTTCCTGAGTGCCAAATTCTGACCTTGAGTCTATTCCACCAGAATTTTGAGAACATCTCAAGAATAGATTTGATATATTAAACACTAATGATAGAAGATCTGATGAGCTGTGGGAGGACATCATTTATGAAGAAAAATCAAAATAAAGAAAAGATCAAAGTGGATGTCAGAAGAGACTTTGTGACTTGCTCTTCAACGTAGAGTAAGGAAAATGGAACAAATGATGAACCCGAAGAATTGAACAGAAACTTTTAAAGAACAGATCAAGAAGACAAAGTAAAATATAATTAAATGTGTAATGAGTTAGAAAACCAAAAGGTAAAAATATGCTCAGCAAAACTTAAACCAAAAGTACTAAAGTAAAAAATACAAGCCTTGAGTTGAAACATTGAAAGATTCTATGGGCAAAATATTGAATGTTGTAGGAAACTTCAAAAGAAGATGGAAAGATCGATTCGAGTCATGGTAGTGGGAGCGGGGAGGAAACATTTAGGAACTAGAGGAAAGTTGTATTTCTCATTGTTGTTACATCGCACCCTGACTGGCTCATCTCCTCCCCGATACCCCTTTGCAAGGGGATCTCCAGTGGCCTAGTAATGGGCTTTGGATCTCCACTCCGCACTCCCCACATCATTCACTATGGTAAGATTTTTTGTTCTGATGATGCCTTATACCTGATCCCTTTGACACCTCGTGGTTGCATAGGCTGGTGTGCTTCTTCCATGTGGGCTTTGTTGCTTCTGAGCTGGATGGCGTCTTGATTACCTTCAAGCCTTTTTAAGACCCCAGATGCTATGCTTTTTGATAGCCGGGCACCATCAGCTTTCTTTGCCACATTTGCTTATGCACCCATTTGTCTTCAGTGATCCATTCGACAGCTCGTGATCACACAGGCTAGACCAGAGGATGTACACTGGTATAGATAGGAATTGAAAATACAGGGAATCCAGGGCGGATGAGCCCTGCAGGACCAGTGGTGTGAGTGGCGAAGCAGGGAGGGTAAAGGGAGAGTAGGTAGGAAAGAGGGAACCGATTACATGGAACTATATGTGACCTCCTCCCTGGGGGACACAACGGAAAAGTGGGTGAAGGGAAACGTCGGACAGGGCAAGATATGACAAAATACCAATTTATAAACTATCAAGGGCTCATGAGGGAGGGGGGAGTGGGGAGGGAGGGGAAAAATGAGAACCTAATGTCAGGGGTTTAAGTGGAGAGAAAATGTTTTGAGAATGATGTACAAATGCACTTTACACATTTGATGTGTGTATGGATTGCGATAACAGTTGTATGAATCCCTAATAAAATGTTTAAAAAAGAAGAAAAAAAAAGAATGACAAGGGCAATGAATGTACAAATGTGCTTTACACAATTGATGTGTGTATGGATTGTGATAAGAGTTGTATGAGCCCCTAATAAAACGATTAAAAAAAAAGATGGAAGGAATATACAGAGTCACTGTAACAAAAAGAACTAGTCAACATTCAACCATTTTGGTGGTAGCATGAGCAAGAACCAATGCTGAGGGAAGTTCAAACTGCACTGAAAGCATTGGCAAAAAACTGAAGCTCACTGCCATCCAGTCGATGCTAACTCATAGTGACCCCCTATAGATTTCCAAGACTATAACTGTTTATAGGAGTAGAAAGCCCAGTCTTTCTCCCTTGCAGCTACTGCTGGTGGTTTCAAACTGTCGACCATGTGGCTTGCAGCCCAACCTGTAACCACTATACCAACAGGGCTTCTTGAGACTAAAACAAGGCTCCAGGAATTAATGAACTACCAATTGAAGTGTTTCACCAAGCTGGTAAAGCACTGGAAGCACTCACTCATCTGTCAGGCAATTTGGATGATAGTTACTTGGCCAACTGACTGAAAGAGATCCATATTTGTACCCATTCCAAAGAAAGGTGACCCAACAGAATGCTCAATTATAAACAATATCAAGCAAGTAAAATTTTGCTGAAGATCATGCAACAATAGCTGCCAGATGTTCAATTCAGATTCAGAAGAGCCTGTTGATGTCAGATGGATATTAGCTAAAAGCAAAGAATACAAGAAAGCTGTTGACTTGTGTTTTATTGACTAACCCAATGCATTAGACTGTGGATATAAGAAATTGTGGATAACTGTGAGAAGAATAAGAATTCTAGAACACTTCATTGTGCTCATAAAGAACCTGTATGTAGGTCAAGAAGCGAACAAAACAAGGGAATGTTGCATAGTTTAAAATCCGGAAAGGTGTGTGTTAGGGTTGTATCCTGTCACCATAGTTACTCAGTTTGTATTCTGTGCAAATTATCAGAGAAGCTGGATTGTATGAAGAAGAATGTGTTAATCAGGATTGTAGGAAAGCTTCTTAACAACCTGTGATGTGTAGATGACACAACCTTGCTTGCTGAAACCT